TGAAAATTAACGGTCCAAAAATGCGTTACAAGATGCACTATTTCCAAAGCATAAAATCTATTTTTTTCTCATGTCCATACATCTTGATATCAAGATGATCAATTTGAGGATATTTGGGCATCAAAACAACCTCTTCTAGTGAAATTTTTGAGATGGGCTCTAATTTGATTGTTTAAAGCTTTGGCACTATGTAAAACTTTTTCCTTTAAGAAAAAAGCTTTCTATGTTTCTCCTACCGCATAAAACTTATATACTTCTCCCTATCCAACCGTCCATTCTGAATGGACGACTGAGATAGCCTTAATTACAATGTCATGTCTCTGTATTATTTTATTTTTAATTTTTTACAAAATATTTTAACACCAAATATTGGGAATCCACTCTTCTCTTAAACTCGCCCCTGTAAAAAAATATTATCAATAAAATAAAATACCCAATATACCCCTGAACGTTTTAAGGGATATTTTTGTCAGTATATTTTATCGAAAAGTTTTTTTTAATATTGTTTTTAAGTGCGCCTCATGGAGATGATGGCACATACCAAATTTTATATTTATATAATTTATAGAAAAACTAAAAATAAAATACTCTAAGGCGTCATATCTAGATCAAAGAATCAATAGCTCACTTGATCTAAATTGGACGGTTGGATGGAGGAGAAGTATATATCCGCTATATAATAAGGGTAAGTATAGAAATAAGGGAAGTATAGAAACGTTTTGCCTAAAGAAAAATACCTTAGGAGAAGTTTTTTTTAAGAAACCAGACCTTAAGATATTTTGTTTTTGACTTTAGCTCTCCACTTTTTATAGAAAGGCGAATTGACCAATTCCCCCCTCTTCTTTTAAAAGAAAAATGTTAGAAAGTTTTTTATTTCATCTCTCACTCTCTTAGCCATTGTGTTTTTTTTGGGTAAGCTTTCTATGGTTTCCCTACAACTGAAGTTCTATCCTCCCCTTTATCCAACCGTCCATTCTGAATGGAAGGCTAAGATTGTCCCAATCATAATGTTATGTCTCTACACCATTTTATTTTTAATTTTTTTTTAAAACTATTTTGACACCCAATTTTTGATGTCCAAACCTCTATTAAAATCGCCCTAGCGAAAAATATAAAAAAAATATTTTCAATAAAATAAAATGATCAAAATACTCCTAAAATTTTTAAAAGGTATTTTGGTCATTATATTTTATCAAAAAATTATTTTTAATATTTTTTATAGGTGTGCCCCAATGAGAAGATGGCACATACCAAATTTCATATTCATACAATTCCTATAAAAAAAATAAAAATAAAATACTTTGAGACATCGAATTTAAGATCAAACGGTGAGTGACTCTATTGAACAAAATTGGACAGCTGGATGGTAGGGGGATGATAGAACTTCTATGCTATAAGAAAAACATAAAAACCTTTCCCTTTTTTTTTAATGATACTTTTTTCCATGGTATCTTGGCTGCTCTTTTATACTCTCTTTGAAAAGCCAATGCATTCTTTCCTTCCTCTCGCCTTCTCTCTCTAAAAATTTAACCCCTTTTTTCCCTCATATTCTCTTTTCTAAAAACCAGCCTATCTCCTATGTCTTATATTTTTTTTAAAAAAATATTGTCTATTTGTGCGCCCTTTCATTTTCTCTCTCTAAAAACAGCAATATCGAAGAAGAAAAGAGTGAAATTAAAGAAGAATGTGAGTAGATAAGGAAGGGGTTGGGTTCTCTCTCTAAAAACAGAAATATCGAAGAAGAAAAGAGTGAAATCAAAGAACAATGTGAGTAGATAAGGAAGGGGTTGGGTTCTAGAGAGAGAATGTGAAAGTGGAGAAAACTTGTTTGGGTGTTTAGGGAGACAATGGAAAAAGGAATGAAGAGTTAATTTTAGTTTTAGAGAGAGAATGGGAGATAAATGCTTAAAATTGGGTTTTAAGTTTTTAGAGAGAGAATGGGGAGATATATGCTTAAAATTGGGCTTTTAGATTGAGAGAGACAATGGGGAGGCAGAAAACATAGGTGAAAAATGTGTAAGATGAGAGAAAAAGACGGGTTTTGTCTTTGAAGAAGGACAAATAAATTAGTTTATGCTCCTACAAAAGGTCAGAGCCAAAGTCAAAATAAAAAAAAATTAAGAATCCAATATCTTATAAATAATATCTTTCAAGAAATTTTTTTTAAAAATCACTTTATTTTATTATAATATATAATTTACTATTATTTCATTATATTTTTATGCACCATATGACATAATGTTTAATACAATATAGTGGAAGAAATCACTTTATTTTATTATAATATTATATATTATATAATTTACTATTATTTCATTATATTCTCTATACACCATATGACATAATTTTAAATATAATGTATTTTATTATAATAGTTTTTTATATATTTTTTAGGAAAAAGTTTATATAAAGTTGCAACATTAAAATGTAGAATTTAGGTGCACCTCAAAAATCCATCATAAAAGGTCATTTTGATGTTGAAAAACTCTCCATCATCTCAACATAGATATGTATGAATATGAAAAGGAAAAAGGATTTTGAGTCTAAAATAGTATATCTCGCAACACATTATCTGGACTGTCAATTTTCAAGATTTCCATGTGTTTATGATCTACTTGATTTGAACCAATTTTGGAGTTTAAAATTTTATAATTAGTGATAAAAATAGATTCTTAAGCCATCCTAATAATTTTTTATACCAAAATTACATTTATGATAAGCTTTGGAGGTGTGCTCTAATTTGATTGCTTAAGGTTACCTGGTATCCTTGCTTTATATGCCATCTCCTATTGTTAAAGAAATTGAGCGGCTTATGTGCAACTTTTTATGGGGTTCATTTGATGGTAGCAAAAAATACCATTTGGTAAGTTGAGATAAAGTCTGTACTCCTAAAGCTGAAGGGGGTCTGGAGATTTACAAGAGCAAACTAGTTAATTTAGCTCTATTATCCAAATGATGGTGGAGGTCTTTAAATGACGGTGATCAATTGTGGAAAGAAGTTTTGGTTGCCAAATATAGTGTGGATAATAGTGGCTTTATTGATAAGAGAAGAGGAGAAAATTGTCAATTTCAGTTGTGGAAATGTATATACTCTACTAGGGAATTGGCGGTTAGAAATGTTAGGTGGGAAGTGAGTAGAGGGTCCACTATTGAATTTTGAAATCATAAGTGGTTGGGTGATGGAATGTTGAGGTTTAAGCATAAGGAAGTGTTTGGTAGGACAGTCAATCAACATTTAAAGGTAGAGGAGGCTATAAGGTGGACTGTTGATAGATTTTTCTGGGATATTTGTTTAAGCTATGATAGGGTGTCAGATGTTGTTCTAAATCAGTTTTGTGAGCTGTTGCTAGATTTTGATGTGATTTATATATCTAGGCATCATGAGGATGAGTTTGTATGGGAGTTAACTACAGATGGTATGTTCTCAGTGAACTCGGTGTATCATTTATTATTTCATGATAGACTAAGATGGGAACAACCAAAGCTCATATCCATTTGGAAATATGGGGAATCCCACGTAAGATTCAAATCTTCTTGTGGACTCTTTCGCAAAATAAAGTGCTTACAGTTGACAATTTGAAGAAGAGGGAGAAATAATTGTCAATATTTGCTTGTTGTGTAAAAAATACTGAAAAGACTAGAGAGCATTTGTTCATTCATTGCCAATTTACTTCAGCATTGTGGACCTGGGTCTTTCAAGTTATTGGTTTTCAAATGCCTTTACCGGCACATCTTATTGATCTGTTAGATTAACTCTCGATTCCTTCTTTGCCTAAAAGGGGGGTGATGATTTGGCAGATTTTTAGGGCTTCAATGCTTTGGGAAGTTTGGTTGGAGAGAAATGGGTGAATTTTCGAGGGTTTCAGTTGGGAGATAGATCGTGTAAAAAGATAAGATATTTCAAAATGTTTGGTTTGGTTTTTTTCTACAAAAGAAGGTTTTGGGGTTTCAAATATTGATGTTCAGCTAAATGTGAGGAGTTTATTACACCAACAGATCTCTAGACCCATTATTCATTGTCAATGGACCCCACCTGATCCTGGATGTCTTAAGTTGAATTTTGATGGTAGTTCAAATCCAGGATGTGCTAGTTTTGGTGGTGTGGTTAGTGATTATCAAGGTGTAGAGATAAATCACATAAATGTTAGCTATGTTTCAAAGCTTAAAGCTGTTGAAAGATCGTTGTGATCATTTCACATGATTGGTAGAAGGAGATTCTTTTAATGTTATCGACTGGATGTCCGGATCTAATAAACCATCTTGGAGCTTGAGAAGGTTTTGGTTGGCAGCTCTAGATATTTGTCGCAATAAAGTAGTGGCTTTCAATCATGTTTTTAGGGAAGCAAATGAGAGGGCAAACTTGCTTGTTAAGGATGGAGTGTTGGCCCCGTCTTTGGTGCTCAATTCCTTATCTTTTTAATTGTTGTGTTTTTCATCTCTTCACTGTAATCGTTGGATTGATTGAGTAATAAAGTCATGATCTTGTTAAAAAAAAAAAAAGATTACAAACCTTATGCAAACCACACCCTATTTTTATTTATGGACCTGGACCCAAGTCGGTCCAGTGGATTGGATCCAAGTCAAATTGACTTGGACCCATCCTAGACCCTAGTTCGGGTTCGAGTTTAACTCAGTCAGGCTGGGAATGGGCTGGCATCCACCCGGGCCCAACCAGACCCGACTCAACCCATCCCCACCCCTAATATCCTTGTATATGGCATATAGTTTCACCAATGATATACGGCCTATATTTCACCTTTTCCAAATGGAAGGGAGAACCATACCCGTATCATAGGATACGAAAGGAAGATCATCGGAAAAAGTAAGAGGGGAGAGAGGACTACAAGCTGTTCATTTAGCAAACATACACACGAAAAGAATGATGCTTTCACTTAGTGAGATGCTGAATGTGTTTTTGCCTTGCTTGCCTTGTAGGCTAAATCTCGCTCTCTCTCTCTCTCTCCCATGCCCGTTCTGGGTGATACTTTCTCTGCAAAACATTTATAATAACATTGGCCAATTGATGGAATGTCACACACTAAGCTCAGCATTTTCAAAATTGTTAAGACCTACCATCGCAATCGCTCCTCAGACGCACAAAGTGAATCTCTCTCTCCCTCTTTACAATGGCAGACCATAATTTTTGCCAAATGCCTTCCATCTACACACAATAGCAGACCATAATTTTAGCGAAAATGCAACAATTAATATTCCTAGTTGTGGCAAAGCTCATGACAAATTCACTATAGCTCTTGTTCTTGTTGCATTACAGGTATTATGCAAGGATCTATTGAATCAATGAGGCATCATGGAAATACACTCAAACGTGCCATTAAAGAATATGCACGCGCCAAGAATCCCGTTTTCAGACCATATTCCTTCTCATATTCAAATTCTGGTCCATCCACAGAAGAGAATGTTTTCGTGACGACCACAATAGGAGACATTCTGAAGGCCAAGAGAAAAGATGGCAACGTCATTTGCCACTGGTGCACAACCCAGGACACTGTTTATGATGCTATCAACATTGTGTGTTTGGACTTCATTCACAAATTCTCTGTCTCACACACACACATTCTCTCTCACATTCATTTGTTGGATGGTACAAATGCAGATGACAAAACATAATGTTGGATCTTTGGTGGTAGCCAAGCCAGATGAATATAAATCAATAACGGGAATCATTACTGAGAGAGGTAATTCTGATCCATGCACATATCCAAAGTCCACCATATATTCTTCAACACAAAATGGAACAATTCAGGGACACCAATGGCGCCAATCTTTTCTGGTTTTGCATAGTTTCACAGCATTAGACAAGCATCTTACTTTTTCCAAAAATGATATTTCATATGCTTGTTCTCAAGTAAGTCATTTCGATATGCCTGTGTTCGACGGTCTGTACTCGAAAGTCTGTGTGTTCATCAGTTAAGAGAACCTAGGCAGATGAAAGTTTCAAATGGTTTTCTTTTATCATTTTGGGTAGTTGAGCGGTAGGAATTGAACTTGAGATGTAACATTCCCAACGTCAACTGCTAATCAATCAAAGCCCAAGCAAGATTTATTTGTTTTCACATGGTTTTCCTGCCTATAATCCTTAGTCTTGCATGGCTTAGAAGATCAGTGTAGAGCCTTAAAAAGTTTGAAAATGTCTTTGACAGACTATCTCAAGAAGATGATACTGCAGGGACGATCCTCCAAGTTCACAAGAGTAGGGGACATCATGACTGATGAGGTAGATATTGCCATGAACTGAAAATTCAGCATATTTCACACAAAATTTTGATGCACTTGACTACAATTTAAATTTTGGCTCAATTTCGAATTTAAAATCATGCCATTAGTTCGGAATAAAAACTTCGTTCAAAAGTAAGTTTGAAAGTTTTCTCACTTCCAGAAAGTTACAAAACACACTCATGAAATATAAGAACACATTTTGACAAAAATTTACATTGAAATTCAAGATTCTGGTTCTTGTCATTCTCTCTCTCTCTCTTCTC